ATCTTGGCCACGCACGCACACGCGTCCGGCGTGAGTTTTAAGCCACTGGGTCCAGGACGCGAACCAGGATCGACTATGTGGGAGTCCAGCGACATAGCCATTACGCTAACTGCTGGTCCCTTTTATTTTTAAATGCTCATTGCATGTCAGTATTCTTCTTGAAGTTTGATTTCTAAATTTAGAAAGAAAACATGTAAGTAGCATAAGTGTCATCACCACACTTGGTTAAATATGAGTTTCTGTGTTAGCAGCCACTATCTATTTTATTATAGTATTTTATTACAGAATTTCTTAGTGGTTAGTGTGCATGTGCCTTCCTGGCTGATATATAGGAAGTATGAGAAACAATTTTATTTTCCCTTCATTAAGAGAGTTTCAATGTCAGGGCCAGCAAGTAGTATGGTTGTTAAAGTACTGGACTCCCACATAGCCAACCTGTTTAGAGTCCCAGACTTAGTCGCTTGAAACTCATACTGAGTATATGTGCATGTGTGGCCAAATTTCGAGAGGAGGAGGGATTGCAGCCTGGCCATCCTTCCTGGGGGGCAATTTCTCACTTTCTTTCTCTGTGTCTCCAGCAAGTGAACACTATAGCCAAAATCTCTCTTAAAAAGAGAGAGAGAGAGAGAGAGAGAGAGAGAGAGAGTGTGTGTCTTAATGTCAAGTACCAATGTCTGTGGTCCTACATTGATCTCTAGGCACTAACATATAACAGTTTGATATTGTGTCAGTACACAGTGGTTTGTGGGTTGCATATATACCAAAATATCTGTATTTTTGTCACATTTCTTTTCCTTTTTTTTGGCGAGGACGCATGCACTCACCAGACAGATAGAGACATAGAGACAGAAAGCGAGAAAGCACCTCCCGGGGAGATGGCCATGCCGCAATCCCTTCTCCTCCATTCTTCTCTCGGGATCTTGGGCATGCACGCACAAGCACCCGGCGTGAGTTTAAGCCACTGGGTCCAGGACTCAAACTGCGGTTGACTACGTGGGAGTCCAGCAACATAGCCATTATACTAACTGCTAGTCCCTGTCACATTTTATTTTAAGAGAATACAAGAAATTATTTTGTGGTAATACATTTGAAATGTTTTGACAATTTGGCCAGTTTCTAGAAAACTGTCACATATTAAATGTGACACAAGAACAAACAACTTAACCCTACAACCCTTTAGAAAAGGAAACCCATCTTCTCAGAGAGAAAAATCTAAACCTAGCAGGTCTAATGGTAAATTATACCGATTATTCTGAAGAGAAATTATTCCATGTTTATGGAGATTCTTCTTGAGGATAGAAAAAGGAAATACACTCTCCAGGTAGTCTTCTGTGGAAACATAATATGGATACTAAAATATGACAAGTAATGTAACAAGAATTAAAATTACAGACCAACAAGACAAATTACAGACCAACATATTTGATATCAAGGCAAATTCTTAGCAAACTGAATTAAATAGTGTATCAAGAGGATAATGCAGTATGATGGTCATAATTCCAGAAGTCAAAGCTAGTTTACCTTTAGGAAAATAAAGCATATATGTCTATACAAAGCATGATATAGTCAGACTGAGTAGAAAATGATGTAATTATTTCAACAAATGCAGAATAAAGTGTTTGATAAAATTTAACATTACTGGGTCCACATGTGGCATGATAGTTAAGGTGGTTAGATCCCATGTGACCAACTACTTTGTTAGAGTTCCAGCCTCAGCTGCTTAAAAAACAAATCAGGTATGTGTGCATGGATGCCCCAAATGCCAAGAAGTGGGAGAAATGTAGGAGAAGGGATTGTTGTGTGGCTGTTCTCCATGGAGGTTGCTTTCTCACTTTCCCTCTTAATCTCTGTCTCTCTCCAGCAAGTGCGTGTGTTCTCTGGCAGATGAAAAAAAAATAAGGAATTCAGAAATAACGTTTAATCAAGTTTTACATCAATGCATACCTTGTAATTCTTAACAAACTAAAAGTGTTTTTTTAATTTGATAAATGGTATTACAGAAGTACCAGATAATGTCTCATTTAAGGAGAACCTTGAAAGCTTTTCCTTAGAGATAGGGAACAACACAAGGAAGCCAGATGTCCCAACTTCCAATGTTGTACACCAGAATAAGGAGGAAAATAAAACAAAAGGTATAGCAGTTGGAAAAAAACATAAATAGAATTCACAGCTTCTATGACTGTCAATTAAAAAAATCCAAAAGATACATTATTTAGTAAAATAATTGAGAAAAATTACTATGTAAAAATCAGTATGCAAAAAAGTCTTTATATACTAACAACCCAAGAAAAATTAAATGTTAAAAGTTTTATGGTAGAATAAAAAATACTTGTTTTTTGGGAACAAGCCAATAGAGTGGTAGTTAATGTGCTGGATTCACATGTGGCTGATCGCAGTTCAAGTTTTGGACTTGAAGGCTTGAAAATCATGTTGGGTGTGTGTACATGTGTGCTCAAAATCCTGAAAGGAGATCAGAGGAGAAGGGCTTGAGGCATGGTCATCCCCCTGGGGGAGGTAATTTCTCAGTTTCACTCTCTCTGTCTTTCTCCAGTGAGCACATGTGCCATATGGCAACCCCCCCTCAAATAAATAAAAGTACATACTATTATTATTTTTTTTTTGGAGAGGTTTTTGCTAGGGCACGTGTGCTTTCCAGAAAGAGAGAGACAGAGAGACAGAAAGCGAGAAATTACCCCCCCAGGGGGGATGGCCACGCCACAATCCCTTCTCCTCCATTCTCCTCTCAGGATCTTGGGTACACATGCGCACCCACACCCGGCATGAGTTTAAGCCCCTGGGTCCGGTACTCGAACTGCGGTTGACTACATGGGAGTTCAGCGACATAGCCATTACGCTAACTGCTGGTCCCCAAAAGTACATATTATTCACTTCATATGTAATAAAGATATTTAAGACCTCAGTGAATGAAAATCGTTAAAAATTTTTGAGAGTGAGAGTAAGAAAGGTTGAATAAATGGATAGAAATGTATGTAAAACTCTAATATGTTTGTGTCTGATCAAAACCCATATAGTGTGTTTAATTTTTTTAAAGAATTATTTACTTTTATTAATTCGTCCATTTATTTTAATTTGGCCAGAGAGAGAGAGAGATGGGGGATGGGGGGAGTGCGAAAGCAAGCTACCAGGTCTGGGACTTGAACCGTGGTCAGCCATGTGGGATTATCCAGCGCTTTAACCACCACACCACCTGCTGGTCCCAACAGTGTGTTTCTTAAACCTATACAGTGTATTTCTATGGGGGATTGAAATTGAGAATCAGATTCCAAAGGCCAACTACAGCCAACACACTTAAAGGGCCAACTCTAGAAATTTATGTACCAGATGGGTAGGGTTAACATTCAGGTACAGTAATAAAGGTAATCAGGTCATAATGCAGGGACAGTTAGCAGACCAATGAACAGAATAGTAAGCTTGTGATCAGACCTGTAAACAAAAGAATCCCCCTTTCTTTTAAAAATTATTATTATTATTGTTACTATTTTGTCCTATCACAGTTGTTTAGGCAGCAAAGAATGGATTTGTCCTAAATGGTACTTTGATCATTTAACCATATAAAAATACTAGACCATTAACTCCCATCTCTCAGTAGTGAACTGTAGGTGGATTAGAGATCACAGTATAAAAGGTAAAATATATAATCATCAAATTGCTATCACTGAAATATATAAAGTGTTTCTAAAAATGAACAAGGAAAAGATAGATAGTACTATTGAAAGTCTAGCAGAAGACTAAACAGCTACATCACAGAGGAGCAAACACTAGTGGCCAAAATGATGGAAAAGGTGCTCCACTCTGTGGTCATCAGGACAATGCACTAGAAAGCCATGGGGATTCACATATTCATACCAGAGACCAAGCGACAACACTAAGAGCGTGGGACCTCAGAAACTCTCTGGTACTGCAATGAGAGCATGCCCTGCACAGTCGTCTAGGGAAGACTACACCATGAGTGCATGGAGGCGCACACGCCTCATGACCTGCCATCTTTCTTTAGAGGAGTGTGTTCATGGAAGGGTCTTTCACAGCATCCCTGACTAGAAACACCTCATGAGGCAGTGGCAGAATTTATCCATAAATTGTGCTTCCTTGGGCTTAGAGGCAGTGGGACTTTTCCAGGCCAAATAGTAGGTATAGAGCCTGTCCCCATTGCCTCCCTGTCTCATTCCCTTGGGTAGTTTTGCCAACTTAAGAGATAAGCTGACTCTAAGTGTTCCTCTTTGTCTCCAGAGCCTTCGGTGGTGGTGTTTGCCAAGGACCAGCTGGCACACTGTGAGGTGCAGACTGAAGTGGGGGCCAGTGCCACATTGAGCTGTGAGGTGGCCCAGGCCCAGACAGAGGTGATCTGGTACAAGGATGGGAAGAAGCTGAGCTCAAGCTCAAAAGTACATTTGGAGGCCTCAGGGTGCTTAAGGCGGCTGGTGGTGCAGAAGGCAAGCAAGGGGGATGCTGGGAAATACAGCTGTGATGCCAGGGGCCAGAAGGTCTCCTTTAATCTGAATGTCACAGGTAAGTTTTTGGTGGCACTAATTTAGCCTTGTTTGGAGGTAATGTTGTGAGTGGTTATAGCCATGTTGACCAAGAGTTTTTGTCATAAGACTTCATTTCTCTTACCCTCTGTCTCCCTTTTGATGCCTGTGGCTGAGTCAGGGTTTGTTGGATAGGAAGAGAGCGTGTGGATTAGAGGCTTTTCTTAGCTTTTATTATATATCTGGAGTAGTGTTTTCATGCTTAGTCATAGTTTCATATACAAGTATCTGCTCAGAATCTTTCTAATGTTCTTTGTTGTCTAGAATTCTAACTATATATGGCCCTTGTGGTCTGAAATAGACCAGAGTCTCCCACCTGGAGATATGTGACTCTGTGTGTGTGTGTATTTTTTTTTTTTTTTACTATTCTTGAAGTTCCCATATCCTTCAGTCAGCTGTATATGGATATTCTCCCTAGTCAAAGGTGTTTCAGTTTTTTTGAACCTGATAGGGGGAAATTTTGGCCTTCCAATTGTATTTGGAATTATCTTAGGACTAAACTTTGGATTTTCAAAGGTTGAGTATCTGGGATACTCTTGCCTCCTTTCACATGGGTCTACACATTCTCTTTGAATCTGCATGTGGCAAAATCTGGATCTGTGTCTTGATGCAATGTCTGTGCAGTGTTAAGCAAGTGCAGAGGATTGGTGGATAAGTTCCATTGTTGCATACCTCTGGGGTCTGGAATTGGTCTTTTTAAAAATTTACTTATTTATCTATTTATTTACAGTCTTTCACTGTAAATCAATACAGTATACAAAATGAGATTTTTCTATCCAGTATACATTATATATTGGCTCAATCAAGGATATTACCATACGTGTTATCATCAACAAATAATTTTCTATTTTTTGCTTCTTACATATTTTGCTTTCCCTCCCCCTTGATTCCCTATTTCTCATCCTCTGCCAACTCTCCCCCTTCTCCCACACTGTCTCTGGTATGTATAGTTGTCTCCCATGCCTTTTTTTTCACATTTTATTGATTCACTAAAGATCTTAATTAATTTAAAGACTTTCAATAGCAAGCACAGCTGATATATACATATTTATGAATGCATATCTGACTTTAGGCATAAACCTCAGTGAGAAAAGTGAACATAGTATAAAGTAGCACATCGTTGGGGCTATTTAGCTTATTGCAGTCATTAAATAGGTATTAATAGGTATTTTTTAATTTCAAAAAAAGTTTTAGTTTTAATAGATCAAAATAAAAACATGTTAAGAGAAATTTGTTTAAAACTTAAAGCCAGGAAAAAGGTTAGGATTCAGGTCAAATAGCAGGTAGATGAATCTATCAGCAGTTCAAGAGAAGACAAAAAATCCTTAAAATGGAAATCAAAGCATCGAAGAAAATCAGTAATGTTTCAGTCTAAAGTAAAAAAGTTCTATTTCACTAGTTCAGACATAATTAATCTCTTTTCTATTGAATTTGCAGTGTTACTGTGGTCTGATCTTTCCATTTGAACTCTGGGAGTTAACATTCAACTCTGGATTTGTCCCTACCATTAGGCTGGCCATGTTCTTGGTTGTTTCTTGGACTCTTCTTTCTGTATGTCTGACTTTAGTTTTCCTGGTATAGCACTCCCTTCAGTACTTCTTGGAGAGCTGGTCTGGTGTTGGTAAATTCTTTCAGGTTTTGTTTATTTGAGAATGTTTTTGTCTTTTTTTTTTTTCCCATATGAAAGATAATCTTGCTAGGTATAGTATTCTTGGTTGAAATTATTTTTCACTTAATGCTTTGAATATATTTTTACATTATTTCCTTGCTTGCATTGTTTTTGATGAGAGGTCCAATATTAGTTAGCCTTATGGGATATCTTTTGAAAGTAATTTGACTTTTCTCTCTTGCCAATTTTAGTATTTTGTCTCTGTGGTTTTGGTCAATCTGGCTATGGTCAATCTGGCTATGATGTGCCTCGGGAAAGATCTTCTTGGGTTGATTCTATGTGGGGTCCTTTGGATTTCTTTGGCCTGGATATTTGAGTGCCTCTCTAGATTTGAAAAGTTTTCTTCTAGGATTTCATGGACTAGATTATCAATGCCCTTATTAGTTTCTTCACCTTCTGGGATACTGATAATCCGAATGTTTGAGTGTTTAATGGTATCTGGTATTACTCGTATGTTATTCTCTCTCTCTCTCTCTTTTTTATTTGGTTATTTTCTCAGTCTTTTTGGTGAATTTCTCTAGGTCAGAGGTTCTATCTTCTACATCTGAGGTTCAATCTTCTGCATGATCTAATCTGCTTTTGATATTTTCAAGTGAAGTTTTGATTTCCTGTATTACAGCGTTCATCTCTAACAATTCCATTTGATTCTTTTTTATGATGTGCATCTCTCTTTCAGACTGTGCAAGAGCTTCCTCACCTCCTGGAACTCGGTATTTCTTTTCTCTTGCACCTTTTGGAGTTCATTGTCTCTGTTCTCTTGAATCTCTGTTAGCTTTGTCACTTTGAATATTTAAATTCTTTATCTGACATTTCCATGAGTTCCCTTTGTGGAGGAGGAGAAGTTATTAATTTCTCTTGAGGGAGAGATAATTTCCTGGCTTCTCATATTTCTTGTGCCTCTGCGGTAGTTTCTGGTCATTTGATGGGTTATACGTTTTTTCCTGGCTCCTGGCTAGACTGGGGAGCAGGACCGTGGTCTGTGCAGAGGGTTTTCGGTGGTCAAAATCCCTGAATGGGGCTGCTCGGAACTCAAATAGAGATGACTGCTGATTGGCTTATCCTGGCTCTTGGCTAGACTGGGGAGCAGGAGGTTGAAGTCTGGGCAGAGGGCCTTCAGTAGTCAAAATCCCTGAATGGGGCCTCTGGGAACTCTGGAAATTGTCTTTTTAAAGCAATTCTTGCTTTCCTTTTGTCTTCAACTAGAGCATTCTGTGTCAGTAGACCTTTTGTAAATAAGGATGAATAGAAAGGAATATAAGGCTTATGCCACATCAGCACATTTTGTTAAAAATATGTTACTGTGTTATCAGCAGCCAATGGCTGGTAAGTCATTATTTATTTCATAGAACTTTCCTTTAGGAAAATGGCTAGAGTGTGTCTGTGCATCCCTGTTTGGCTCATTGAGAAGTCTGAGAAGTCCTTGTAGTTTCCTTTTGCTAAGAGAGTTTAACCTTAAATAAGATTCACAACATAGTAGTTTGGTATTGTATCTGTTTATAATGGTTTGTGGTTGTATATAGATACCAAAAGACCCACTATGCATCATTTTGAAATGTTATTTGAATAGATATGACATGGTTTATGCAGTCGACTTCAGAGCTTTGACAAATTGACCATTTCCTAGAAAATGATATAACTGATGTAAGAGGAAATAGAGAATTCAAACAATCCTCATTGTAAAAGACAAGTGGACATACATGTCTCTATTAAAGCGGAAAACTTTTATCAGCAGAAGGAATTATAAAAGAATAAAAAGGCAATGATAAAGATAGGTAGGGTATTTATACTCATAATATACATAGCCCTAGCATATAAAGAGCTCCTAAAATTGAATATGAAAAAGGCATGCTGTTGATTAATGAGTAAAAGTCAGGCTACTGAAGAGCAACACTAACAGCCAGAAACAGGGGCACTTCACTTGTGAATCATCGGGCTATGCACTAGAAGCCATGAGAGGTCCAAGCATTCCCACCAAAGGTCAGCAGCTGACAATGCTATGAATAGGCAAGGACACAGAGCCTTGAAAACTCTCAGGCGAATGTGGTGAGAATATGCCCTGCTTAGTCACCTGGGGGAGACTGTGCCCTATGAGTGTGGTGGAGGTGCACATGTGTTATGACCTGAAGTCCCTCCCCTGGAGGAGCAGTTGCATAGAGTCACATGGGAGAAGTGCCAGAATGTGTCCATATGTTGTGGTTAATGAGGAAGAAAGTCTCCAGACCTCAGTGATGCGGAGCCTGGCAAAATTTTTGTCCCCTCTGCTTCTCTGTCCCTTCCCATTGAGTGGCTTTACTAAGGTGGTAATCTAATTCTATGTGTCCCTCTCTGTTCCCAGAGCCATCGGTGGTATTTGCCAAGGAGCAGCTGATGCACTGTAAGGTGCAAGCCGAGGTGGGGGCCAGTGCCATGCTGAGCTGTGAGGTGGCCCAGGCTCAGAAGGAGGTGACCTGGTACAAGGATGGGAAGAAGCTGAGCACAAGCTCGAAAGTGCGTGTGGAGGCCACAGGATGCACCAGGCAGTTGGTGGTGCATCAGGCAGACAAGGGGGATGCCGGGGAATACAGCTGTGAGGCCGGGGGCCAGAAAGTCTCTTTCCACCTGAATGTCACAGGTCAGTTCATTGAGGTTCTGCCTTAGCCTTGTTTGCAGGGACCAGCTTATAGCCCCTACACACCTTGGTGTTTTCCCATTAGTCTTTTTTTTTTTTTTTTTTTGAGAGGTTTTCGCTATAGGGCGCATGCGCTCGCCAGACAGACAGAGAGAGACAGAGAGACAGAAAGCGAGAAATCACCCCCCAGAGGGGATGGTCACGCCGCAATCCCTTCTCCTCCATTCTCCTCTTGGGATCTTGGGCACGCACGCACACGTGCCCGGCGTGAGTTCTAAGCCACCGGGTCCGGGACGCAAACCGCAGTCGACTACGTGGGAGTCCAGCAACATAGCCATTACGCTAACTGCTGATTCCCTTTTCCCATTAGTCTTCATCTCTCACTTCTTCCATCTTCCCACTTCTCATTTTCAATCTATGATTGAGCCAGATGAGCCTGATGGGAAGGGTATGTGTGGAAGTGACAGGGGACTTCTTGCACACCTCAAGTGGTATTTCCATGTTGTAACGCTTAGTCTTGTGTGCCAAGCACTCAGTCAGTATCCTCTGGTGTTCCTATTGTCTAGGACTCTTGTTCTACCTGATGCATGAGGCTGAAGAAGATCAGCTGTCTCTCTCCTTGGGATATGACAACTCTAATAATAGGTTTATGTTTTGTTGTAGTATTTGTACAAAATAAACAGAGAACCGTGATTAGTAGATCTGTGCCTGTGATACACAGATGTGAGGTTAAAATTCTATTTTCAGTGCTGGTCTTGTCTTATTTTCCTTTTGTGTTCAGTTAGAATATTCTGCATCAGAATTCCCTTTGGAATTTGATTTATAGATTTATGAATTAAAAGAAATAAATATTGGGTTGTTGGAAAAGTCATAATGTATTTTTCTGTGTTAAAATGTGTCATGACTTTTTCAACAACTCAGTAGCTTACAGTACATTGGCACACTTTGGTAAAACTTCAGTAGCAGCCATCGACTGGTAAAACAGTATTTATTTTATAGTGTTTCCCTTATGTCTGTTTCTTTCTGGTTGATCATTAGGGAAGTCTGAGAATGAATTTTATTTTCCAATTCTTATGAGAGTTTAATTCAAATTACTATGGCTATGGTCCTGCTTTGACAGTTGATATTATATCAGTGTACAGTGGATTGTGAATCTCTTCATAAATATCAAAAACCCACCATGTGTTTTTGACAAGTTGTTTCAGTACATTATTTTATGTGAGTAAATTTGAAAAGTTTTGATAAAGCTTCCACTTTCTATAAATTAAATAAAAACTGACCCAAGAAGAAATACGTAACTCATACAAAGTCCTGCCACCTATTTAAAAGTAGAACCTGTAATTAAAAAAATCTCATAAAATGCTATCTAAGCCAGTGGTTGTACTGGTAAATTCTTCCAAACATTCTGGAAAGCAATTTTTCTATGTTCATGGAGATTGTTCTAGAGAACAGAAAAAGGACATGTACTTCTAACTCATCACATGTAGAGCAAACATAGTACTAAAATATGACAGGAAAGTAGGAAGA